TATCAGGAGATTACTATAGAGTGATTGTTGGATATTTTAACTGCTCTAAAATCTTCCAATGAATTTATCAATCTTCTAATATACTTATGGAAATTGTTATGTTTATAGAAAGAAATGTGAAAGGCGGGTGTAGTGGCGCACACCTATAATCCCAGCACTCGGGAGGCTGAAGCGGGAGGATTGTTGTGAGCTCAAGGCCAGCCTGAACTGCATAGCAAGACCCTGTCTCAAAAAAGAAAAGAAAAGAAAAGAGAAGAAAAGTGAATAGCTGCCTAAGACAAATCTCTATTGATGAAAGTAGAATAGGAAAAACATACACCAAAAAATATCTAGAAAAATGGCACAGGGGGAAATGACCCTGGTGGTATTCATCTTTGTGTATGAAAAGGTCCTGAGTGTTTGTTTCCCAGAAATCACCAAAATATGGAAAATCTCTAGGAATTAGACAAGGGCAAATACTATGAAAATATTCCCAGTAGAAGAATAAAAGGAACCTAATAATTATATACCAATAAACAGAAGCACTAGAAACTACCTCCTAGAAGATAAAATAAACTAATTATCACCTATAAGAACATGGAATATTAGATAGGAAGAAAACAGTCTCACAAAGTATAATTTTGACAAGCTCATGTGGGTTAATTTCAAGTGGGTTAATCACACACACACAACTATGTTTAGCCAGAATGTATAGCTATTTTTGTGTTGTTTTGATTTTGTCTTCATTGTTGTTTTGTTAGTTTTTTTAATTAAAAAAAAAACTTGGGGCTGGGGATTTAGCTCAGCGGCACAGTGCCTGCCTGGGAAGCGCAAGGTCCTGAGTTTGATTCCTGGTACCAGAAAGAAAAAATAAAAACAAAAAAAACTTACCAGGCTAGTATGTTGCCCTTTACAATCATTAGAAATGAGTCATGTCTTTCATGGTGCAATCTCACAGCCTCAGTTTAGCACTGAGAATCTCATTTATTGTTGGTAAAGTCCAGAATTCTGAAAAAATGTAATCTTCTTACCACCCCAGCATCAGGATGCTACCAACTTTCTGAATCTTTATAACGTTATCACCACCATTAGATGATTCTTGGTTTTATTTATTTATTTATTTATTTATTTTTGGTCTTTTTGAGACAGGATCTCGCTATGCAGTTCAGGCTGGCCTTAAATTCACTTTGTAGCCCAGGCTGATCTCAAATTCGCAAAGATCCTCCTGCCTCAACCTCCCAAGTGCTGGGATTGCAGGCATGTGCCACCACACCCAGCTGAGTCTTGGTTTTAACGTATGCCCTTACCTGCTCTTTTCTGCAGAATAACATCAGGTTTCAACACAAGTAGTACCCTGTTCTCTGGGACAATTACCTATTTCACCTTGCAAAAGACCTTGATCTAATATTCCCTAACAAAAATTCCATCCAATAAAAATCAACTACCACCTGAGCCGCAGCTCTTGTTGGGTCAAAGTACATCTATCTAGATTCCAGCCCCACCTCTGCCCCATACTTTTTAACAGATGCTGTCATGGTTTGTGTCTAGATGTCCCCAAAAGCCTCATGCAGTCATGGGAAGGGCTTCTAGAGTTTATGATTGATTCATCATCCAATGCTGGGATTATTGGTGTGAGTGCTACACCCGCCCTGGGACAGGTAATTTGCATACAGTGTAGGGGAGGGAAAGAGGCTGCTTGCCACTCCTCCCTCTTTGCTCTTGTTGCTTTTGCTGTTTTCTGCTACTATGAACTGTTGCCCTCTGCCATGTGCCACTCTGCCTTGGAGTCAGCTGATTATGGACTGAAACCTCCACAAATTGTAAACTAAATAAATCTTTCCTTCCTTAATTCTGGGCATCAGATATTTTGTCTCAGCAGTGAGAAATGTAACCAAGACAGCTGCCTTTTAAACTAGCAGCATCCCTAACATAAAAACGGGGAAAGGACAGGATTATAGGGATAGCTTTCTCCAGAACTTTTAACTAAAATTAGCTCTCCATGCAGAAATGTACCATGCTTATCTTTTAATTTTTGTGCACTTTCTAGAACACTGCTGTTGTCTCCTGGGATGTGTCCCCGAGTTGGAAAGGCACTATCTATAGCTCCCTGACTTCTCCTATGAGGTTCCATTAAAAAGAGATTTACTAACATCTTAGGGCCAGAGAAGCTTGGGTCTAGAGACAAACAATAAATTACATTCTTAGAGCTCCTGAGTATACACTTAGAGCATTCACAAATATAGGTTTTGATCTCAGGGGTAAGCCAGTTGGCATTTAACAGATAGCTATAAAATTCACTCTTCCAATTAATGATCACAATAAAGGAATGATTCATAGCCTTAAAAAGCCTACCAACTGACAGGAAATACAGGTCTAATAAATGAAGCTGTCATTTGGCAAAGAGTGCATCTGTGGAAGTGCCTCTCCCAAACCCTAAAATAACATGGATTTATACAATAGTAAACTAGTAATAGCAGCTGCAGATAGGTGTACAGCAATTAATGCAGAAAACACTTATTTCAAAGTTCTCAAGAGAAAATGAAGCAAGTTTAGCAAATGATCGAGGAGCAGAATAGTGGCAGAAGAGAAGTTACATGTGACCAGCAAAGATTTCTCTCCAACAGTTAGGCCAAAGACTTTATCTCCTTACTCTTAGGGAATACTTGGAGTTAATACCTCAATCATACCAGATTCTATCAGTGAAATAATGTTCTTCCGGAGCTAACTGCTTGGTGAATTATATAGTTCATCCACACTATGTGTTCAGTCATTCAAAACATATCCTTTTAGTTTTCTTTACCAAGATCTAGGAATATGAATCTCTCAGGTATTTGCATCAAATTCTGATGCTCACAAAAGGCAGGTAAATAGAACCTATGGGATGGTAGTTGAACTGCGATGTTCTTAATTGTGTTGACAGCTATGAAGGCCTCCCAGACTTACCTCCCTATAGAAGGGTTGTTGGCTCATATGACTTATCCCCATGGATATAATGAATAAAATAACTCCACAAGCCAAAGTTTAAAATGTCCCATTGTGTCATAGTTATACCATTCACACTATAGTAACATTTTTGTGTTCACTAGGTAAGGAAATTCTCATTTCTATATTATTTGTGATCCTTCATAAAGGGGGAGTGTGGCTCATTTATTGCTACTATGTATTTTATGTGAAAAAAATCTGAAAAAATCATTTAGAAAAGTCCAGTAAGACAAAAGACAGACTAAGCCTGGCAAGTTGCCTAACATTTATGCTTTGGTTTCCTCATGTAGAAAATTCAGGAGTGAGATTGGATGAGCCTATACTCCATTCCAATTGAAAAATTGTATCAACTCTATGAATTATAACTAAGATTTATATAAAGCTAAAATGTCAATACAATTCTGGCTGTTTCTCTCAGGATATGTATAGAATCATCCAAATGTCTTAGAGAAATTTTAACTGCTGTCACATCTTAGATTTTTCAAACTAATTTTACCAATATTTTAAATACTGGAGTACGAACAGCAGCAAGGCGATATTATAAAATGTAAACGTGAAAGCCAATTTTAAGTTGGATCAGATTTCATGAAAAATAAAATTTATACCCTACAAATGCTACATACATTAGCATCTGAATTACTATAAATACTAGAAAGTTACGCTCAGTAACTTAACAGTGATTATATCAAAACCCTGCTGAGATTTTAGGTGGCCAGGCACAAACAGGAAGCAATGAAAATTTCAGCTCCTTTGAGGGAGCCAGGTTTGCTCAAGGAGGCAGTGGGGAGGGGTGGCTTGCTGCAGGGCACGGAGCTGCCAGTAGCAAACTGCGTTTGATTCCCACAACCTGGAATCGTAAACAGAAACTACGGAGGGAAAAAGTCAGACGAGTCAGTTTAGCTATTAATTATAGGACGCCTGGTTAAAATAACTTTCCTATCAAAAGCCTTCCAAAACTGGCTTTTCAGGATTAGGGGATGAAAAGAAGTTGAAAATTGCCCCCAGGTACCTTAATCAGTTCTCGAGATAGAATTCAAAATATATCACAGAGAGGTTGGCCCACTGTGCTCATCCATGTCTCTCTCTCTCTCTCTCTCTCTCTCTCTCTCTCTCTGTCTCACACACACACACACACACACACACACACATTGCCTTTACTCCTTGGTATGTCATGTAAGAGAGGATGGTTTTCTCATTTGGGGAGGAAAGAGTGGTGGGTATAGGTTTGGCTCCTGTCCCAGCTCAGCAATGTGCAGGGTGTTTAGCAATTGAGGAAAAAAAAGCACATATGACTTATTACCTGAAAAACAGTTGACTACTATTTCAGTAAAAGCATCATTTTGGAAAACAGGAAGATTTTTTTTAAATTTTAAAGAGAATAAAGCCAATGTGAGAGAATTTCAAAACACAATAATAGGAGATTAGCAATGGTTAACATATTATCCACTGTCATATTCAAAGTAGTTGCTCAGATTACAAGATATAGGCATGAAAAATGAATCAGACAATATAAGCACAAACCGTTCTTTTAAATGAACTAATAGAAATCAGTAGTATAATTATCTTAGCTATCTTGTGTGTGTGTGTGTGTGTGTGTGTGTGTATGTGTGTGTGTATATTCCCCCCCACCTCCTTCTTTTCTAAATAGGAAGATCTTCTTAGAAAATGTTTTTTTATAGTTACTTGGGAAACAGATAAGAGAGTGCTAGTCTTTTAAATTAACCAATTCACTATCCTTACATGGGAGAGGATTTCCTGCTGACAGCTCCCACATGGATACTCAAAAGCCTCTTGTTTCTGCAATGCCCATAATATTAGTGTACAATTGCCAAGTTAAAAGCCATGCGATCTAAGAGCACAGGGAAGGCAGAGTTATTGGCAAACAGAAGAACTATCATGCTTGTCAAAATTCAAGTAAAAAAAAAAGACAAAGATAATACAGGCACTCCTAATTTTAATCAAGTAGAAAGAAAACAGAGAAAGTTTTGCACGTAAAGTAAAAGCGGACGTATTTATATCTGCAAATATAATTCACTTACCTCTGTTGGGCAGAAACCCCAAACTAACCAGGCTGTAGTGATTCCTCAGGGGGATCCAAATGAAACAAACAGAAGCCTGGCGTTAGCGCCGTGCGGTTCAGCCTCTACCTGACTGTATTTACGAACACTTTAGAGGCTTCTCCCTGGGAGCTGAGTCACTCAGGGAGGAGGTGGGTGGTATGAGAAAGGGTGTCACCTTATACAAATACCACTTCAATTAAAACAGCCTCACTCATGGACCTACTGCCTTGGTTTGGTGAATTCTTCTTGTAATTTATGGCCTTGTTATGCCCCAAGTGCTTCTGTTATCACCCTTCTAACTGCTATCAACAATACACACAACTCTATTCCTCACAAGCTGTCATAGTATCCAAGTTACTCTGAATTCTCTTTTAAAAAGCAAAACAAAAACCTTGAGGTGAAACTACCCACAGCACCTGGAAAGCAAGGGCATAGATATCCACATAGGAGCCACAACTTATTTAGGACATAGAAGTCCTGAGGAAGCCAGGAGCCCTAGGGCTAGAAAACATGGGAGCAGTATTTTACGCAGATTCTATACATGGAACATTCTGTAGAGCCATGACAGAAAAACTACATCCTGAAATATAGGATTCCTAATCTTTGTATTTCACCGTATGTAAAGGATGTGGAAAGGAAGATTGAACTTCTCTTACAGCTGAAGCTGGCATGGACTCCTGTGTCAAAGCTGCTTCTGCTGAGGGAGGGATAACAGAAGAGCCTTCCTGGGCAGGGGCTTCTCTCAGGCCCTGCAACATACCTGTCATAATAGCAAAGGAGGCTTCAAAGAAGCTTAGCAAACCTGGAACACTGCCAGAAGCAGCTGGGTCATTAGAACTTCCTGGGTCATCACTATTCATCAGCCACTGCAGCAATTACCCAAATCCTCACTGTAAAACTCCTCCTGCAAATGACAGTCCAGATGAGCTAGGCCTGCTGCAGTGACCAGAAGTCGAAACATCTGGATAGGAGGGCACGGAAATTGCAGTATACATGGCAAGTGGGACAGTGCTCCCACAAAATACCCTTATTTTGGGCTGAGGAATTCGAAAATCTAAGAAAAAAAAAAAATGCCCCCAACGTATGCACATATCTGGTACTTTCATGGAATTTGATGTACATACAAATCTTAAAATAGGCTTTAAATTTCTGTGATGCACGTAAATGTTGATTGGATCGCGGATGGATATTGATACTACAAGTGAGAAAGTTGAAAAACAAGGATGCAATTTGGCTAAATTTTAAAAATGAACTAGAAGACATATTCAGCATTAGAACTGAGTTAAAATTATAGCATTAAATAGTGTAAGAGCCGTTTTGGAGCGAAAAATAGTAACTGACATTATACAATGTTTAAATATATGTTTTATACTTTATAAAATATAAAACCAGAAAAATAGGATTTTGCTTTATAACAAAATGAACTACAACTATCTAACATACATGTAAGACTTTTGAGCTACCAAACCATTATCCCTGCCTATAATTAAGGTTTTTCTTACTTTATATACCAGGATATCTATACCATTAATCCAAAAGCTAGTATCCTTTCATTTAGAACCAAATCTGTATTTAAAAAAGGGCTAATGTTGGCAGGGGATATAGCTCAGTGGCATAAGCACTTGCCTGGCAAGCCCGAGGTCATGAGTTCAATTCCCGATACCAAAAAATAAAAAAATAAAATTAAAAAGAGCTAATGCTAAGCCCTTGAGACAGGTTCAGGCCTCTTAATACAGAACAGACATTCAGCAAAAAGACTGCCTAACAGGAATCTCAGCGTGAAGAGGTCAGATCAAGAAGGTGTCTGGGTGTGGAGATGGACAAATAGGCTTGGCCTTGGTTTCACTCAGGTCTTGAACTGGGAGGCCTTGAGCATGCTTAGAATAACTCAGCTTCACCACGCCTGTTTCACTGTGATTGTCAGAGTTTTTGAGAGCATCTTAGAACAGGAGCTCAGAGACTGGAATGGCAAATGTCTTTAGGTCAGATGCCAATATGAACTGATTGGGGGCAGCTACCTACAGAGATATGGTAAGATTTTTAAAGTAAGATTGGACTCCGCAGAAGTGTGCCCTGGGGAACTGGCAATGCTCACCACAGGTCTTAGATGGGGAATGTTTGCTGACCCTGAGTTATAACATTAGACATTGTGATGCCACACTGCTTGTCCATGTGTTATATCCCGTGACACAACCAGCCAAAATGATCGCTTGCTACTACATAATAATGGAAAGGGCAAACATTTGCATAGCACTTTTATTTTGTCATGTATTTTTCTAGGAAGTTTTCATACATTAGTTCAATAATTGTTATTAAATGACAGTTACTTTCTCATCCCAAAGAGATTCCAAAACTGATACTAACAATGCACATAACATAAAGAAGTCACCATCTCAGAACTTTCTAATCTATTATTCTGGGATTTGGGGGTTTTGAAAAATAGAGAACTCCCTATTTTCCTTTCAGATGAAAGAAATAAATGTCATGTGCCTATGAAAACAGCAAGGATATCATTAGGGTGGTAATTAGAGAGCCAGTTTCTCCTTGTCTCAGGAGATCGATGCCAGACCTGATGGACTGCTGCCAGGGCTGCAAGAGCTGGCACATTGTTTAATACACTTTGATGGCACCGAACATGGTGCAGACCGAAAAGGAGAACAACACAGATCCCAGGGGAACCTCGGTCCAGTTTCCTGTAGAGATTCGCTACTCATTCTGGGCACTTAGCTCTTATGCCTATATCCTCCTTGGTAAGAGAAATTGATGATAACCATCTCTTTACCAACTGGACAGGTTACAATAATAATATCTGGACTGCTTTTAACTAAAGTGCTAAGTCTGTGTTCTAGACAACATCAGAAGGAATCTCAGTTCTTGTTGCTTTTGGATTTATCTTCAAACTCCAAACAAATAATAGATTTCTGCTTCACAGGGTATATAGCTCTGCTTTCATCAAACTGAGGCATGGTCTGCGCAGACAATGAGAAGCAGAGATTCAAGGTTAAGCAAGACCTGCATCCACACTTTCTTCAGGAGTGCTGAGGATGAGAAGCCCTGCTTGAAAGTTTTGTTGCTTTCCTCCCTCCATTCCCATGTCCACCAAAAATAGCAATTTGGCAGCTTCAGAAATCCTGTCCCTTATGAGACTGTGTGATGTAGCCACGTTTTCCTCGAGTTGGAGTCTTCTGTGGACAGTCGTGAACTGTGCTATAAAGCAGTGTAATCCCCCTGGCTACCAGCTGAAAGAAACAATTTCATGCAGACTGGAGGAAGAACTTCTTTTTCTTCCACTGAAAACTTTGGAATGGCAGTCAGTTCATACAATCAAAATCTTACTTTTAAACTCAGGTTATTATTTCATAATCTTCACCTTTAATTTTCTCCAAACCACAGAAATTCTTTCATTTTCTACCAATCTTTCCACTGCCAGATATTTAATTACATATAATACATATATTAAGCCCCTCAAGGTCAGAGACCTTCGTATTTGTCTTTTTGCTGAACACACAGCAGAATGTTTGAATTATAGTAGTACTTGGTATTTGTTGGCTTAATAAAGGAATAATGAACATGAACGGTAAATGTGCATATACCAGGGCTGTTCATTGTTTATCAAAGTTCTAGCTTATCTTTTTTTATAAATCTAATTTCTTTATTAGGTTTTTCTATACCTGGCTGGAAAGTTAAAACTTTAGCTCTTTAACTCACCCATTTAACATACACTGCTATCTGACAACCAAGTAAGATTTCTTACGTGTTATAGAGATTGCCCCAATAGTAATTATGAGAGCTGAATTTATTGCTCAAGGTTGAAATTTCTATCGTCAGTGCCTCCTACCTCACTCTCTCCCTCTGCTCTAAACCATATCTACTTAATTGGTCACTGAACTATCACTGTCAGTTGTACCTCCTAATTTAGTCTACCCTCCCTGTCCATTTGAGTCCCATCGCCTGCCTAATTTGAGCCCTATGTCTTTATGGAACATAACTTTAATCTTCTGGTAACTGTCCTTTTCCTAGTTTAAACCCATCCACTGCTAAGTCAGTTAGACTCTTTCAGGTTGTAAAGATCGGAGGTAAGTTCTGGAAACATCAGTGAATGAGAGCAAACTAACAGTAGCAGTTAAGCAAGGAAGACCCACAGAACCCAAAATAATGGTTCTTAGAAGCCAGTTTATTACAGGAAAAGTTATGGTGTAGCGACTGCATTAAAGATAAGCATTGGCTGCTAAAGGCTGTCTCACAGGAAAGGGTCAGAAGGGCCATATGCAAGCTCCAATTGTTCTCCTTCCACAAGACTCTTCTCAGCATCCACTTTCCCACTCGTAACAGGAACCTCTGATTTGTGAAGAGAACACCCACGCAAAGTCTCAGCTTGAAGTTACTACACCCTGCTGGTCACATAGGCTCGTGCTGCTATGTGGCCTGGTCTTCTGGAGTCTCATCAGATACCAATCATCAGCCTCACTGTTATCAGGTAAGTACTAGCTGACTAGCTGGTACAAGCCATGCTGAAACCCTTAGGGCTTATGGTTACAAGACAATACTATCTGTGTTATGGGTTTATTTCTTATCTTAGAATGATTCAGACTCATTCCAAGTTGGTTGGGATTAATCTCTTCAGCACAAAGGCTTTAATGCAGATTCATAAATTTATGAAGAGGAAAAGATACAGTCTCAGCAGCCTTTCTTAGATGTTAAATCATATGGCCTACTGATTCATTTGCAAACACTAGTCCAACACAGCTCTGGGGAAGGGAGAGTAACTCAATGAGTCTCCCATGCTCCTGGCTCAATTCCCTAACTTTGGTTCTATACTCACTCTTCCTTCTCCCATGTCAGCAATTTATTGTAGCCTCCTCGTGTTTTTTTGTCAACATGCTTGATTTGGTCGGTCACCATCTCCAACTGGATTTCTAAGGAAGAGCCTTTGTACTAGGCCATCTTGTAGACCTCTTTTCTGGCAATAGAGGATACTTTAGATTAGACACATACCCTTCCTCAAAGAGCTGTGGCCAAGAAAATAGCACTGTAGTTCAAAGCATGGTTGTCTAAGCCTTGAACCTGCTATGAAGTGAGCTTCAGAAATCGTACATAGCCAGCTGTAAAATTCTCCCCAGCAAGGACCCACCATCCCCTAGCACAA